GTTTATCATAATGATGTAAAACCATTATCGCGTCTCGAGAAGGAGAGTAAATACTCTAGTAAACTCTTACATACAGGGGATTTTAATTTGCCCAAACCGCGAAATAGCTATAATTTGGATTCAGCTGCAGGTATGTTACGCACTTGGTACAAATAAAATCAACTTACAATATTAACACCGTGCATTTCTTGTATTTAGAGACTCAACCTCTTTTTGAATAAACTTGTAATTTAATAGGCTTATTTACAAAGGTTCGAATTATATGATGTGCTTCCACATATGCCAATATGGTTGAGTTAATGAAATAAAATTGTGCATGTTACTGTTACTTGCCCTTTGCTGGATATTGACTATGTAAAAAATATGATACACTATTTATTAAACAGTAAATCTTGAGACAATTCTTTAAATTGGTAATGAGTTTGATGCTAATAAAACATAGCAACATTCGAGCTTGCATTCAAAGCATTCTAGCATCAGCTGCACGATGTGTTTTTCCTGACACTGTTTCATATTCAAACCAGTTCTTTCCGAATGTATCATTATTTTATTTGTTCTTGAGATATAATGCGATACTTCAGTACTTATTTAATTTTAAAATGTGTCATTTTTCTGTGTCGTAAAGATATATAATCAGCATCAATAAACTTAACTGTTAATGATAATAATCATTGGATACAGTTTTTTATATCCGCGGAAGATTGAATAAACAATTTCCTTTGAAATCGAATTACTTCTTTTCAAATAAGGGTTATTATTATAAGTAGTTAAGAGGCTTCGCCTCTCTTGATCATAGACTAATGACAGTTGCCTTTTCTCGTTGCATGACTACTCTTTGAATTTTTTGATTGATGCATCCAATAATAATTACTACTATTATTCATTATACATTAGATACTGTTCAACGTTTCTTGAAACGACTTTACATAGTTTTCGAGAGAAGGTACATATGTGGTAAATTATTGATTAGAATAGCAGGATTACGTACGGGCGATCTCAAATTTCGTTTCTCAGAGAAGAATAGGTCTCGCGTGAATGTATAAAGCGCAAGTCGGCAATTCAGTAGTTTCAACTTCTAGCTCTTCGTCGGTTATGTGGTTGATAAACCGTGCTTTATCAGCCATTCAAAGTTTATTGTTCGACGTCTTGTTCACGTGTTCTTGCTTTGGAGGAGAAGAAGTGATACAGGTACAACGGTTCGAGTATAGAGAGTTCTTGTTCGTTGTATATGCGCTTTAGAAGAAGATGGTTGTTATGGAAGCATACATGTGCAAATTGAGAGCAGCCAGGGTATACGTACAGTATACTTAATATTATGTATCGTGTGAGTTTATTAATAAAGTGTATATGGAATAAACATTTGCATTTGTAATGCGGATCACATCCCCTCGCAAAAAATCACATGCCGTAAATTTTAGATCGCAGATCACACGCTGTAAACGTTGGATAAACATCTCGAACCTCGCTCATCACGCTATTGACTTTCTGTAATGCAGCTCACATGCTGTAGAAACGATTAGAAGTACAAGCATCTTTTTCTGACATGACATTCACATGACTGGAGGGATGTTTACATTTCAAGCGATGCTCCTATAATAAAGAAATCCGTAATATTGTGATCACATGCATAGAAAGGAAGAAATTGAAGGGAGGTCGCTACCTCAGAAAGTGGGTTTCTTCTCATCCTCTCGCGTTCTGACAGTTTCAATGGAGCTCCCTTCTGCATGTGTCGCTGAACTACTATTTCCTGGTAATCATTGCTTTCAGATTTAAATTTTTCTTCAATTCGCTCATTCACTAACTTTGGTGTGTGTGATGCAGATTTCTGGCTGCACCAAGATGATTTGTCTCTATCATGCTTTCTAAGGGTTTTTGGTGTTTTTTTGGGTATATGTTTTGGGAGTTTAGGAGGGGTGTTTTTGCAGGTATCGGCTTGAATCAGGCAACTTGGGAGATGAAAAGTCTGAGAATTGTCGATATGCCAAAGAACTGGAGACTATAAAACAATTCTTCGCCCCTCGTTCAACAACGGCTCAGGAGATTTTGAAATTGGGAGGCGGCATTTAAGGTGAGTGCACTTTCTACGCGTGTCAGTGTGTGTTGTTGTTGTGCGCTTAATGCTGGTGTGTTAGGGGATTAAACGAAACACTGTGTTTGTACCGGGAACCACTGGATGATTAGTTCTCAATATTAGTCCTCAAGCTTGTGTGATTAAGAGGCGACAGAAAATGTATTTGATGATAGTTTTTATTTTTCTTTTCCAGCGGCAGAAATGGACTAAACTAATTAGAGAATTTTGGGAGAAGAATTCAACTTGCATCAGTCTCGAGAGGGATTCGTCTATAGCTGAAATGGAGACCGAAGTTCTATCTCTTATCAGGTTGATGTCCGGGAAGCGCGACCAGCCATTGTTAAGCCCATGGCAACCAGAGATTGGGCAAGGGTGATGCGGAAAGTTGAATCCTACCGTAATAACCTAACGAAGGAGCAGTGCCTTTATAAGTAATACCTTTTTCCACTCTATATCCTCATATTCATGATATGTATAATATCACTAATAATACCTTTGTATCGCTAGTCCGTTATATTACTATCTCATAGATCATTCAGGCCAACACGTCCCCATTGCATGCAGACCTGTTGGCCAAATACTTTCCAAGAATGAGGCCCTCGTTGCCGAAGGAAGTGGATTTTACTGCGCGAACTCTTTCAGATAAAGAAAACAGCCTTTTCATGCGGCTTTTTGCGGTAGAGCCTTTTCTCCTGAGAACTTATTTGATGTTGCTGATACGTACATGCTGAGCTGTTTTATTTGTATACAGTCCAAACACCCCGATGACACACCTGTGAAAACAGAAAAAGAGCGTAATATTAAGGAGCTTGTGACAAGCATGTACGTTGAGTAAGGCAATATATCGCTTTCTATGTATTGATGAGTCTAATGGTATGGTATTATCATCTTGTAGCTTTATGTCAATAACGAAACCCGAAAAGGATAACCTTTCTGAGACGGAACACACCACACGTAATGTTATGCCTTTGTTGGACGCTACTGTAGGCCTCGATACGGAGTGCCGCATCCATTATTAGTAAGTCATCTTTCCTTGCATAATAATAATTCCTTTTTGACATGTTTTATTAAACAAAATTTGTCGATACGTCTATTACTATGTAGTGGAGAACGTACCCTGGAAGTGACAGCTGATCGACGAAACGAAGGCAGTGATCCCTTTGAACGAGCTAGAGACGGTTATAAAGTGGACGGCATAATCGAACATCAAGAGCTGGGCTGGTTGCCAACTATCGGATGTGGAGAAATCTCCGGCGGTCTGCCTCGGTGTACACGTGACGAAGAGTGGAAAGACACTCTTAAACTAGGCCTCGAGTTGCGTGACATATGGCGCAAGGCGCAGAAAGATTTGGTGATCAGTGCCGCACATAATCTAATCGTTTGGGGGTTCACAGTAGTCGGTGAGTAGTTTATACTTTCATAAGACCTCAAGCTTGTATGTGCTATGTGCTAGATTCGGTACTTACGATGGGGTAAAAAATTAGGCAGAAAACTTTGCATTTACGCGCTGGGTGTTGCTGGCGGACTCTTCCACCTGGTGCTCGTGAAAGAGGTGGCCCTACCGTCTTCACGCAGTGACCTGGTCAACCTGTAATATGCCTACCGCGTCATGCTGGCGTTCACGGACAAGCTAAACATTACGAAGAGGCAGCTGGTTGCGTGGAATCTGGAAATGGCTTGTAATGTAGAGACGAATCAGGCTCCGGAAGAACGAGAAATGCCTTGCATAATCAATACGCCAGGCAAGAAAAGGACATCATACTGTTATAACAAGAGTAAATCAGAGTTAGATATTCACTTATACTTATTAGCATAAACTCTTGATGGAAATTTAATACATTTTGATTTACAAAATAATAATTGTTGCAAACTAATAAACGCATCGCATCATTGAACACTATGCAATAAGTGCTTCACATGCACTGTAATACTGTAGTAATATGTATTCTTTTTCACTTGCATTTGTTGCAACCAGTCTGAATTGATCCGTTCGCGGTATTGTCATTTTCGAAATATATTAAAATACACGTACTTTACTTGCAACAAACATGAATCGCCGAGTAAACAGTGAGCTAATTCGTGGGCCAACGAATTCTCGTGCGCTATAAACAACAAATAAACCATTCACCTTAATACGCCATCTTATTATCACAAGCATATAATATCGATAAAGTTTGAGCAAATCATTATATTACATCGCGTGAACTGACATTTAATTAATGAGCAGTTACTCTATGTATGCGTAGCTTTCAACTTACGTGATCTTTCAATAACGTTTCGGAGAATACTGACGTCGTGCTCTTCGCGTTCCTGCAATTCTCTGTATGTGTTGTTCCTTGATAATTCATCCTTTAGGTGTTGCTATGTTAGTCTCAATTGCAATTATTACTTTCGACTTATACTTTAATTATAACAATGCTGATTTCTAGCAAATGTCACAAGTGATATTTTATGAATATGTTTGTACACCAGTCCACATAATTCCCGTTGGGGCAGGCTCGGAGAGCACCTGAAGAGTCTATGGCAGAGGTCCCGAACACACTGTGTAATTATTAATATCTCGTAAAAATTTTTTTAATAAAACTATTTATATTTAATTATAATTGTGTAATTTTGTTTACCACATGTTAATAGGTAGATTTTCCTCTGTATTAAACCTCGAAATCCTTAATAAAAAACTTTTGTAGGCGACTGAATTTTATTATATATTATTATTACGCGGGGCGGTTGAAAAGTTTTGATCGTTTATTATTTATTAAAAAATGTACATAATAATTTACGAATAAATCACCCAAGACCTTCAGGCCATCTTTTTAATCCTCAAAAGGTTTGTAATAGTACTGCTGCCCGAACACCACGTGCAGGCTATTTACCTCATTATAATTCCTTCCTGCCAGCTCTTTCCTTAGTCTTGGAAATAAAAAAAAGTCGCAGGGTGGACTATAAGGAGGGTGAGGAAACAGTTTTACTTGCTCCTGCTGTAACAGCTTATTGACTAACTTATGCTTATGTGACAGTGCATTATCATGGCGCACTGTTTTTCTATTCCTAATTTTCCTAAAATTTTTAAACACATTTGGCAATTGCCATAGAATTCTCCATTCACAGTTTTACCCTCTGGAATCACTATTCTAGCAATACATTCATCTACATATAAAAAACACAGAACATTCCTCTTTTGCTAAATCTAGATATTCTCACAATTTGTGGTCTTTGGTCCTCCTTGCCAATCCATACTTTATTCTGTTCTTTACTGGAGACTGTAAAATAATATACCCATGTCTCATCTCCAGTAATCCGCCTTCAAGGATGTCTAACATCTGTCTGGAACACTTCACTTGAACCTGCTATTCTCCTCTGTTGTGATATCCATTTAGTACTTTTTTGAGCCCTAAATGCTCATGAATAATGTTTACTACTCTCTCATGGCTAATGCCTACCATCTGATTGTCACAATTGAAGGTGCATCATTACCCCATGCATGTAACAAAAATTGGTAAATTTCCTTGGCCTTCATCTCATTCTTCCAGCAGGTAAGAATAAAAAATCTAGTTTTCGCGGGTCTTTGGTTTTGATATCAGGTTTTTGAAATTACATTTCTCACAAACTAGCAAGTAATCACAATAGAATTTTTTTTCAAAACTCGCACTTTATTTTTATTGGCACAAAAATTTTTGTAAAACTTTTTTTTTGAGTATCAATATTAATTATCTTATCCCACCGACCACTCTTACAGTTACATTTATCAAGCAGAAGGCCCACGTTCCACAAAATTTGTCATCTCCATTCTATATTCTATATATGTAATTTTAATAAATTTAATTTATTATACGTTCATATTTTAAAATAATTTCACAATATGTTGGAGTGCTCAAAAACTAGTGACTCATAAAGATCAATTTCTAACCCTAATTTTGCAGCGGTTTTTATCATTCGATAAAGACAATACTATTATTATCAGAAAATTGCTTTATACATTAATATAAATTGATTTCTTTAAACTCTCATTTCTTTTCACTTGTCGGCACTACCATTCAGTTACACCATAAAAAATTTGTTACAAATAGCCGTAATGACTCCTCTAGAGTGCCGTGGGATCTGCATATTAATATTATAATAAATAAATTTATATTAGCACTGATTGAAATCTCGATTGTCATAATTTGTCATGTTTTGCCATACTAATGCTAATTTGTATTACATGCAGAATTGTATGTACATTATGTGTTTTATTCGTTCAATCTATGACGTTTACTATAACTACATACATTGTACAAACGCTAGTTAGATTTGGTATGTCTCCCACGCGGTGGCAAATAGAATTTACTATGGAGCTGCATTGTTCTCCATGTAACCATTTTATTTTGTATTAAAACATAATAACCTGTATTATCTTACATTAAGCGACATGAGATTATTCGTGTTGTACGTAACAAGTTAGAAAATTATCCAAATAGTACAGAATTATTATTGGACCGGAGTCCGATTTCTTTTCTCTAAACCACGAATCTTTCCAGATTCAGTGTATCCGGCTGCCTTTTTGTCATGTCTAACTTGTCGGTGAAGGCTAGCGTAATACAGTAGCATATTGCAGGTTGACCACGTCAAGATGTGAAGATGGCAGAGCCACCTCTTCCACGAGCACCAGGTGCCAGTAACATGGTCAAAATGCATCGTTTAGTTATTGATGGAGAAGTTGTACATGATAGTATAAAATCAGCTTGTCAGAAAAGCCTTCCAATGCGGCAGTTTTGTTCTTTTTCTAGCATTAGAATTGTCGTTGTAGAAGTCATGTTCGCTCGCGTACGAACTCTTCGCCAGTTATGTGGTTGCAAATTTTCTTTGTACTTTTGCATTGCTGCTAATCCTGCTTTAATGGTATGTTATATTCAATGAGTTGAAAATGCGTAAGTTAGAAATTGTGGACAATACAAAAAAAATGACGCGTGTTTAGAGGTCGGAGTATTCACTAAAGCGACCAAGCAAGGCACAAGCACATATTTAGATCGTTGGGGAAAACGGGCCAACACTGGCTGCGTGAATATTTTCACAGCATTAGTTTTATTTTTGTTAGGTTAATCTCTTATCTCGCTTACGTTCCAGCATAACGTATCGGCACTGGGTTGGTCAGTAAGAATAATCTATAATTGCACGATTGATGTGGTGCAAGTTATAAGTAAAATGTTAAACAAAAACATCGGAATTATGCTCATTTCTTACTCACAATTATTCATTTCTTTTCTTTCACAGCATTTACAATCCCACCACAGAATAACTTCACTTGCGCGGAAAACTTTCTCTACATGCTCGATCATCTTTCAAAAGAGAACTATAAATCCAACCCTAAGCTAACACGGGTGTTCTATTTATTCTTCATGTCAGCAAGTGATCATGATGCATTTCGTCTAATATACACAATAATTATATTGACGTACTATTTATTTAACTAACAAACCATGCAATGCGAAGAATGTACACCAACACTGGTGAGTTTTCGAGGATATATGTACTTGCTTCCGACAAACAAGCACGATAATATTACTACATACATTTCGAAAAGTGGATCTGCCTTAATCAATATTACGAATTGAAATATCATACTTCTATGAAATGAGGATTCCATTACGCAAGAATTTGTGGGAATGTGCTTATCTTTATCACCATTACCTGATAAGATAAGGCGCCAATTATTATGTTACACAAATATTACACTATTGACTGCAAGAGGAAAACATTGACATTGTCACTGCTTAACGATTCTCCGTAAACGAAAAATGAAGAAATTTATTGATTTATCCCCGAGTCTGTCAGCTGATTATGAGAAACTGTATGAAGATAGCATATACACAGATGTTTCAATCGTTGTTGGAAAGGAACGTAAAATTTTCCGAGCTCATACGGCGATATTATGTGGAAGAAGCAAATATTTTAAGAAGCGTTTGACCGGGAATAATGGGACTTCTGAAGAGATTCAAAAGATAGCCATTGAGTTAGAAGATGTAGATGTATCTCCCGACGTTTTTGACATAGTGCTCAGGTAAAGTTTATCAGATTGCCGAGGTCAGGTATTAGTACTAGTAATACTCACTGCATTCTTCATTATAGATATATTTATACTGGACAAATGTCTTACGATGTATGCAAGAACGTAGGTTGGATTAGCCTTTTGGATGCAGCTATCAAGTTTGAACTAGTTGATCTGCTCGCTGCAATTGAAAATTATTTGATCTGTAAAGAAGATGAATGGATTCAAAAGAACGCTCTTACTGTGCACAAATATGCCACATCCACGACCTCTTTGAACAAACTTCTGGCCTGCTGTACTCGCATTATGACTTTCTACCCAGATGTCGTTTTTAAATCGAATGATCTTGCAAGCTTACCAGAGAAAACTTTGATTACTCTTCTCAAGAGTGGTGAGCTAAACTTGAATGAAGAAGACATTTGGTTGTCAACTATACTATGGGCGATTAAACAGTTACCTGAACGGAAGCTTGGAGCTGATCCATATGATTGGTCATCTGATGATACAGATGCAGTTAAAGATAAACTTGCAGGTTGCATTTATTATATAAGATTTTTTGGTATCCACCC